ACTCAGGCCACATAATATTATTTTTTAAAATATTGTTTTCTTTTCCTAAGTTTAAATTACCACTAATATTTTTATGTACAAAGACATAAATATAGAAAATAAAATTAAAAGATATTTCTGCACCAAATAAAGCCTTAACTTCTTATGAAGAAGATTTTCTCTATTATATTCATGCAGAATGAAAAGATAACTTCATTACAAGAAAATTTTTTTAGTTTCAACCAATGTAATATGAAAACTTTTTATAAACCAATAAAAAAATAATAGATTATGTAATTTCCTACTAACTTTCGAATTTTCTAGGATCCCTTTTTTGATATGAAATTGTGGTATCACCAATCCCTACCTCACTGATTCTTGATAACATAAGTCGTATTTACAAACATCACAAGTCAAAGCCCCACAAGTCGTCAAATTGTGTGAGCATGGTATGGTATTCAACCTCCATTGGAAAGAAATAACATGAACTTAAAATTGTAGTTTCGATCTAAATTGTTATTGGGTTAATGGGGTTTAGGTATGAGGCTTTACGAATGACATTAGAATACTGGTCAATTCATCGATTACAGATTAATACAACTTTCAGATTTTTGAATTATGATTTATGATTATGATACATGCTATTAATTAGTACATTAAAAGTTTGATTGGTAAAAATTGTGATAAAAATATCATCAATTTTCAAGCATGAAGTCATATTGATATATATATATATATATGTATATAATGAAATATTCAATTCAGAATAGAAAATATTCAAATAAAAAATGAACATCTAGTTTTAACAGCATATTCATATTTTTGTTACTCCCAACTATAGGAGCAACTTAAAAATTATCTTTGTTGCTATCCTGATTTGTAAAGAAACATCAAAAATTCCTCTAAGAAAATGAAAACTATAGACAATGTTTAAGAATTTGACATCAATTAATTGAAGTTAAAACCTTTTGATACACTTGTTCAGCAAACTTAAATCAGTGAAAGATGCCTTTATTCATCTCTGATGCATCTGGCAGTGCTGGAAGAGTCCAAGTATCAGAAATGACAATTAATAGATGAAGTAGCATCTGATATTCATTATTCTAACCATTAAAGCTGCAATGAGAAATAGATAGAGTGATAGTACCTAAAGAAATTGTTTCTCATTCTCTAGTATCAGTATTTTACATTAGAAGCATCTCTGAAACATAGAAAAAGCGTTGATCATCTACGAAATCCAATCTAATAAATATTCAGTGATCACTAACAAACAAATGTTGGCCTGCATATTTCTGGTGAGCATAAGCAGCTAAAGAATCAGTTAGTGGTATTAATATAATTGATCACAGCTTTCTCAAAACTCCGGCCTAAACCTTGCCCAACGAGAAAGACCATGTTATCCATGAAGACAGAATCGCATGGCAGTGTTATAGGCCCTTCACTTGGTAGTCCAAACTCCTCTTCAGACATCTTCAAAAGCTCATGGAATATCTCATTGCTCAGAAATGACAAGGGAATTACAAAGCGTCTTTGATCCATCGTACAGATAACAAAGTGACCCTTGTTGACAACAGATGATTTCTTACATCTGTCCAGATCAATATAGCCACTTACTCGTGGAAAAGAAACATTTTGCCTCCCAATGGTAGCCAGTTTCCTCAACTTCCTTGCCACTTGGAGGAGCTTCTTGGTGCTGACCATTCTTCTTTACTTCGGGAAAATCTTATGCAGGGAGTGAAGAGGAGGGATTTATCTTTTGAGTAGAAACAAGTGAAGCTGTGGAATTTATGTATTGTGTTCACAAGAGTTGATATAAACTAATGAAAAATCACAAGACTGGGTTCACAATCATTGTTAGAATATATGTGTTTGTTACTTGTTAATAAAATATTCTCAATCTTTGCTGTCTTTGGAATCTCCTTGTATTGGACTTACCACCAGTTAATCTCTTGAACAAATAAAATTTAACATATTTTTATAAATTAAAAAAAAAAAAAAAAAAAACATTTTTACAGTAACAATAAAATTAGCAGAATCTTGATTGCTTGCAGCTGCCTGATTTCAAGCACTAGTATAAGGCCAATGGTTCAACAAAGTACCTTTTTTCTAGTTTACATATCCAATTTTGGGCAACCTCATAATTATGAGTATGAATCTCTTAGTTCCGTAGTTAAAAATAGGATATCTATGTTTTATATTACCTTATTAGAGATTTGTATTTCAACCTAGAAGAAAAAGCTTCTGTACCAAACAAGTAAGCAAAAGCTTGTGTAATTTTTAAAATGATGTCGACTTTATCAGCGAGAAAATACTCTGTGAAACATGATTCTCATATGCTTCCAAGCAGCTATTTTACACAGCATCCTTGCCAATTGAATGAGCCTATTTGGGTTGATCATGATATTCTCATGTATTCATTTGTGTTTTTTATGCTCACCTCTCAAGTTACATTGTGTAATATGATAAATTGCAGAGTCAACTCAATAGCAGAAATAAAAATTCACAGAATTTAGATAGTTCAATAAACCATGACATATTCTGTGAAAAGGATGAATCTCAATTCACTGTGAAAAGAAAACTCTAAAAATTACAATGTGTTCTACATCTCAAACTCGACTTTTGCATACACAAAATCATAAAATATTTCTTAATAATTAAAACTGAAATTTATGAGAATATTTTAACTAAAAAAAGATATGAACACACTTTGTTTGTATGCATAAGGTAAGATAAATAGAAACTTTTCTGATATATGTGCAAAATATACAAAATTAATTTTCTTGGAATAAGTCAATCATTACTTAACAAAATGATTGATATATATTTTTTTTTTATATATAATATTGTAGATTTGAGTCGGATTGTATTCTTTATATATATATAATTATTTTAAGATTATTTCTGTTATTATATCAGTGGTGTATGTATATCACATAATTGATAAATGTATATTTTTTTTATTAAAAAGACAAATATTAGATAAATATTTACAAGATAAGTGTTCATAAAATACGATACTGCTGTCTCGTTAATTGACAAGAAAAGCAATTTCAGCGTAAAAGAATTGACAAGAGGAGAAAAGGTTAAGAAAGAAACCAGTGATTAGCAACACAACGAATTCACATGGATTTGGAGGAGATGAATAGAAGGCAGACGAACACGAACGGCAATACTAGTTCCATATTAAATGACAAGAAGAGCAGTTTCAGCAGAAAAGAAGTGACAACACAACAAATTCACATAGATTTGTCTCAAACCATGTTGTCATGTGAGAAAATGTTGTCGGGGATAAAAACTATGAAAAGAAAATAAGCACGGAAATTAACCCTCTGCAGAGAGCAATGTAATTTAATGGTGGAAAAGTTAAATTACCATGAATTAGGCAAAAATAAATAAATAAAATCAGGAATATGAAGGAAAGAAACAGATTAAAAGCTGTTTAAACTTTTACCTCTTTCCAGCTTTTATTATATTGAGAATGATTTTAGTTGTAAATCGCTTTTTGTAAATACCAAAAGTTTACTATTTCTAAAATTATTATTTTAAAATTAAAGTAATATAATTGATTTTTTGAATATTATTATAGAAATCATATAATTGAGAATTTGTTAGTAATAAAATATGTTTATTATTTAATTGAGGTTAATTGTGATTAGATTAAATAAAATATTAGGGCAACTTCACTGCAGGTTTACCAACCCGAAGACAAGCCACTGCAAATTTGGATCTTTTTAAATTTTCAGGACCTCTGTCAGGTTTGCATATTATGCAATTCATTACATTATATTTATATCAAAAAAAAAATTGAAAAAAAAAAGATTTATTAATAATTATATTTATTAATATAATATATTATTTTATTAATATAAATATAAATATATTTATTATAATAAAAAATTAACATGGCGAGTTGAGTTTCAAGAGATTTTAGAAGGTTCAATTCAAAATCTTTTCCTACCAATTCAAACCTGACCCGTGATCCAAAACTTAATACTTAAGTTAAAAAATTTCAACTCAGATTGATCTAATTATAGTACATACTCTTTGAACACGTGAGGGTTGTAAAACATGGGATGCTACTAAAATCTAAAATCTTTGTTAGTGATGGTAGAATTATTTTTACTCGAGGGTTGACAATTTTGCTTTCAACCAGAACTTTTTTGTTTTATATGCAGCCTTTGGTCTTTTTGAGTCGTAAAAAGCTTGTGTATTATCTTATTTTAGTTTGACATAAGCTGTCTTGGATGGCTGGTTATGTTTGTCTTTAAAATGTTGAATAATGCAGAGATAAGCTGTTCTTTTTTTTTGTCTTTGATTTTTCTGGGTTTTTCACTTTGCATTTCCCTCTGCCTTGAAAAGAAAGTGAATTCAGATTTAGTAATAACAAGTCTTACTTTAAAAGCCCAATTTAAATCCTTTATTTTTCACAAGGCTATTCTCCTATTGCTTCCTTATGGGCTTAAAAACTTTAGCAACAGGCTACAAAAGAATTACCCCCCATATATAAGTATACGTGGGCTTGAAATCTAGAGAAATACTAAATTTAAAAATAAAAAAAAAAATTAATATTCTAGTTGATGCGATATTCAATACGGTAGTTGAAGTGACTAGGGAAAAAAAAAAAAAAAATTAAATAATTCAAAAGTTTCTAAGTGTATAAGTTTTTTTTGTTATTTTTTCGAAAGGAAGTATTATTATGATAAGAACTTAGTAAAATACTGTTCATCCATAAATATAGCTGTGAAGGCTGCAGCGCATGGGTAGAACCGAAGTGATTGCAGAATAATTATAATATATATCAATCAATTTATAGCACCAGCAGTACAAATTAATATCCAAGTAAAATATTAATATACATCTGGGTTAATGGCAGTTTCTCACTTAATGAATCTCGAAGGTTCTCTATCGCCATATTAGGTACATCATTTAAAATGCTCAACCAGACACATGAAGTCATTAATGTAACTCAACTACCAAGCCAAACACTTCCTCTATATATACAAACCCTCACTTGAGGGAGCATCATATACAAAACTACCTAGCTAGCAAGAAAACATATCCCCGGAAATAGCGAATATGGCCATGTCCTCGAGCACAACAATGAATTGGTTGGCGGCCCTTGTGGTGATAGCAATGATGGCAGTACAGAGCGAATCAGCAGTGACATGTCCTCAAGTGGTGTCGAAGCTGAGGCCATGTGTGGTGTACGTTGCAAATCAAGGGCCATTGCAGGCTGAATGCTGCACTGGAATACGAGCACTCTATTCCTTGGCTCAGACCACGCCAGACCGTAGAAATGTCTGTAACTGTATTAAAAATGCAATATCTGGATTTTCATTCAGTTCGACCAACCTTAATCTCGCGGCTGGCCTTCCTGCCAAATGCGGCGTCAACCTTCCCTACAAGATTAGTCCCAGCACTGACTGCAACAAGTATTAACATTACTATTAACCTTGACATTAATTAAATATACCATTCTTCAAATCATTTATTTATATAATGCATTTAACATGATGTTGATCCTCGTAATATTATATTGACTTGTGTTATTGTTTTGCAGCATCGTGTGAGGAGATATATATGTATAAAAAGATATGGACAACCAGACAACTCCCTCCATGATCAAGAAGTACTATGAGAAATAAAGGGACGGCCGGCGCCTGCCTCTCTTGGAAGTTGGGTTTCCTATATTATTTATAGAACCAGCTCTTTTAGATGTCTCCCTACCTATTATGTTCACGTAACTCCATCTATATATATATATATATATATATATAGTTATCTGGAAGTAACGTATGTTTTAGTTGCAGTAGTAGAGAGGGAGGTTGTACTTGGTTATCTGCAATCTATTCTCATATATTAATTTAATAGTAGCTTTTTTATTTGTGTCTTAATTTATCTTCATATAATTTATCTTAATTGGTAATTAAACATTCAAATTTATAATATTTATTATTGTTGTTATTATTATAGAAATATTGAATATAAAATTTAACACCTTTTTTTTATTTTGATCTGTTTGATCTTAATTTTTTTTTTGTATTTTTGTGTTTAAAACTCTAGACATTTGCATAAATTCTTTAATGAACTGAGTTTTTATTTGTAAAATAGACGGTGAAAAAAAGAGAGACGCGTACATAAATTAAAAAATTTAATTTACAAAATTGAAACTAAATCACTTGAAAAAAAAAAAAAAAACTGCAGTGCTACTAAGTTTTTATTCACAGGTGTAATGAAAACATAATTCAACATCATTTTACCAATATTTATATTGGCACCTGAGAATTGATGGCAGGTTAGCTCGTGCCAATTTCACCTGCAGATCGACTCAATTGAGCTCAGTCTATGTCTGAGTGGACTCGACCAAATTCAACTTTATCTGGTCTGACTAAATCAACTCAAACTTATAAGACAAAATTCAAACTGACTCAAACCCAACTGGAATGACTGCTCAAACTGGCCTCTTAAAACAACTTGGGCTTGGTTTAGATGTCTTTACCACCTTTAAGTTAATCATAAGAAAATAAGAACAGTTTATTTGACAAAAGTAACCTTCCATTCATTTGAAGGTACAGTAGCTTTGCATTATTCAACTAAAGATAATCTTTTGCATCTTGTATAGTAAGGTAGGTAGGGCCGTGAAAGATGTTCTTACCTAACCAAATGTTTGTCTATAATTGAGTAAGACAAGAATTAGCTAATCTTTCAAAGCTATAAAATATCAACTATTTTAATTAGTATCTTACAAATTAATATCTATTAATTTTGTATAACTATAAATCTAATTTAATTAATTAGTGTTTACAGCTAGCATGAGATATCCTTATCATACCCAGGACATTTTTTAAAAAAAGAAATCTAAAGTGTAAAAATATAAAAGATAATATGTCTTAAATGTGTAAAAAATTACAGAGAAATCAAAAATAAAATACATACTGAATCAGAACAATGTTAATGGATTCCTAATATACATAGTAACAAAACAAGCACTCATTAAACTTCGAAAACATCAGTGTCTCCTCTGTATGTATTAAAATAGAAAATTCATTTACCGCAATCCAAAATATAGTTCAATTCTACTACAGTTAACGTTAAATTATTATCTATTCAACATTTAGATCAAGCAACAGTCGGCAGTCTGTCCATCTCACCAAGAACAAAGAAAGTGTGGACCTTCTTCCATTACTTGATATTGCATCAATAGCTTTGAACATCTCTGGTTGTGTGAGATTCATTTTCTTCAACTGATCTTTCTTTGTCATTCTCTTTGCTACAATTTAAGTACTGTACTATTTTGTCCATCTCGAATCCAATAGCATCAAAATATCCCTCCAAATTGTCCAACATTTTTTCAATTTTGCTAACCGATGAATCATTTTCTTTACTTTCCTACCTAAAACGAATAAAACTTTGCATCGGTAACCCAACACGAGAAACTGTCAACTCAAACAGGTTTCATTCCCTAAACATCTTCCATCTGAACGCAAGTATGAAATTTTTTTGTAGTCTTCACGATATATTCAAACTCCTCAAGGGCTTGTAACTCATTTGAAACAAAAAGAATATATGTACATACAATTTTTTTTTTTTTTTGAGGAATTATTAAAAATGTCGTAGAAAATATAGATTATCTTTTGAGGAATTATTAGAAATTTTCATACAAAAATACAAACTATAATGCTCTGGAACTAGTACCTCTAATCCAAATTATCAGGCGGCAAGGCTTCTCCTCTAATCACCCTCCAAGGTCCCTTGTAGAATGTTGGTTTCATTAGAGGCACAGCTTCACCAGGGTGATCTTCCCAGTACTTCTCCTGCCAAGTATCACCAGAAAAATCTTAAATGAGAGCCTGAACAATTACTACCTGTACTTGATTGATGTTCAAAATACAAATTAGTATAAGGTCTTGAAATAGACAAGTTAAAGATTAAAACAGTTAACACATGTAATATTTTTATTTCACATATTCATCGGCCACAAGTTCGAGAAAAAAATTTCTCTCAACCAGAAGTTGAAATAAGATAAGGGAAAAGTGGATATTAAGAGAGCAAAAACAACCCAAAAGGAAATCTTACAGATTCGACAATGTGTATATATACGGCCCTTAGAAATGTGAATACAACTATATCATGGGCAAAACTTGACAGAAATTGAAGAAAAAGGCCCTGTCAGAAATCCATATAGAATTTGCAAAATCAGTAAAGACATCCCATTGACATAAGAGATAGGCTACTCAAGATGTCAATAGATGATTCAAGATTTTTTTTTGGTGTTGGGGAGGGGGAGGGGGGGGACTATTTATGCCCATAGCAGCATATGAAGATTCATGAAGGTGAGATAGTTTGAGGAACAGCCTAAGTACATGATCTTGATGAGAGGAATATGAGTGATCTGGTTGGCAAAGAATGCTAGAATTTTCCAAAAATACAATTATCTCTTTTTACTCATTAGGATAAAATCTGTTTTTTCAGCTTCTGTGTGAGCTAAGGCCAACAAGCACTTTAAGGATATTTCTTTGTAAGTTTAGTACAGAGATTGACTTGCTATTCTTTCGAGTGATTAACTAGTCTTTCTCTTTTCTCCTTTTATTTTATTTTGGGCGGGTACTTAATCCATCTCTGTAACTTCTCTCTTCATTATACTATCTTCTCTTTTCCTACAAAAAAGAATAATGTCGAAGTCATTTAGAGATTATTTACTGGAGAAAAGGTGGCATTCTCACGATGTAAAAATCTTTTGAACTAACATGTTATCAGGATTAGTAACTTGAGAAGTTCAGAACACAGGAGAGCCACATCCAATAAACGAAGAGTCCATCTATGAACTTCATTAGAAACTTCAATAGCCTCTGGAAGGTACTTAAAACATATTTGGTTACTCAAGGTGCTGAGAACTCTGTTATTTCAAAAAAAAAAATCCCAAGGAAGTGGTGCATACAGATAAGAAAGTTAATTTACTTCGTGCAAGGAATTGAAGATTAATGGTATGGATTTCAGATTGCTTCTTTACTTTGGCAATATAAGTAGAACTTAAACTCACGGTCCTGGAACCATAGAGACAACATAAAAAGTTCACCAATTCATAGAAGAAAAAAAAGAAATTCAAAGCATAAAAAGGATCATGTATGAACTATCCAATCTTGTAGAACAAGTTTAAGCTACAAAGACACTTTCTTAATTCCTACATCTCCCTAGCTTCTGTTCAGATAGTAGGTGTATATCAACTTCTCTTCATGCTACAGCTCTATGAAAAAGAATGAACAAAAGGCAGCAACAAACAAGAATAGACGAAAGTGTGTCAAAGGAGCTGAGAATTTTTTCATGAATATAACATATCAAATGAAAATAGGCATAACATGTCTCAGCAAGCTAAAGCAAACCCTATGTTAAGAGTTAAATATGGCCTCCCACATTACCACAGTTAAAGATGAATCACCTGCATGTCCGACTGTTAAGAGTGCATCTAATTTAGCAATTGCATTCTGGAGATGAAAAATAATGTTCCTCAAACCCACGAGAAATCTTCTGTGACTTTGGCACTAAGCTCAGTGTTCGATTGCAGTAATAAGCCTAACCCTTCAAATCACTAGCAACTAAGGAGAAAAGTGCATTCAAATCTTGCAATTCAGTTTTAAAAAAGCGGTAACAAGTACTAAGGAAGATTTCCAGAATTCATAACTTTGGCAAATGAGACAAGCAATTGTCACATCAGGAAACACGGTTCCAATTATCAGTTATCAAAAAAATTCCATTTGCAACATCATAGTTCGAAAAATTCTACATAGTGCAATGGAAATTGTAACTAACAAAAAGCTTAAAAACCACACCACAACAATCTAATATATTTCTATTGAAACGCAGAATCAAAATAACAGAAACAAACCTCTTCAAATGAATTAACAACAAAAACCTTTTATTTATTCAAATTAGAAAAAATGAATAGTGAATTAAGCTGTTACAGATTGAATGATATACCTTGTAGAGTTGCTCAGTGATAGCAGCACCAATGACCCCAGTGTAAAAAGCTGCGACATAGATGGTGACCAAAGGTGTAAAGGATTTTGGTCTTCTATAGGGCTCCACCATGTCCCACAGGAGCGTCCTTTCCCATTTTGTGTAACGATAATCTGCAAATTTTCTCCACAGATAGCTAGCCATTTTTCAATTATTTTGCTCCTATTTCTTGCCCTGTTAATAAAGGAATACTCCCAGGTTAGTGTGAACTAGGAAGAAGAGTTGGTGGACGGGTTATATCGACATCAAAATCTTAATAAGTAAAAGAAAATAGCCTTCCCTAACCATGCTGTATAAGAACTGAAATATAGGCATCACAATCCACAACCTAAAGAGATTCATTAAAAAAAAAAGAACATCTTCTCTCGCCCTCAGTCTGTAAATCTTCTTTTTTTTTCAAATCCACGCCACTCTCAACTCCAGCCTCTTCTTCTCTCTACTATGGAAACACCAAAAAAAGCGCCACCGCCAAATTCCTCTGAAAAATCTAATAAATTTTTTAAAATGAAGAGAGAGAGAGAGAGAGAGAAAGAGAGAGAGAGATTGAGAAGCTTACAGCAGCATACATACTAGCAGATGAAACAAAGAAACCCAACGAATTCAGAAAATAATGCATCTGATTTCAAACAAAAAAGAAAGTTTTACGCAGACCCTACTAGAAACGTGATCCAACAGCCACCGGAGACAAGGAAGGCACGCCGAGTGACTGATAGCAGTGACGGAACTCGGAAATGATGAAGAACGGCAGCTTTGGGAATGGCTGAGCCGCAAGAGAAGAAGGCCGAAGGCGGAAAAGAAGGAGCAAATCAGAATCCTGGGCCAAGCGACATGGGCTCAATGACGAATAATCTCCCATCTCGAATGGAGTTCGCTTTCTCGGTTTTCTTTTTTTCTTTGGATCAAAAAGCAGAAAAAAACTATTAAAAGAACTTCAATATATCATGTGGGGCCGACTAGCAGCCCATTTGGCTAAGTTATGAGTGAGTCCATTAAGGGACCGAGGAATCTTAGAAAATTTACTTACAACAGATAAGATCCTTGCTAAAATATCCTGGCCTCAGGTGTAAGGATTTTTCGACGACCCAACCAAGGTATGAAAATGGGAAGCATAGATCCGTGGGCTTGTTGGACTCCAATATGTTCCTTCCTTGCCTTGTATTCAATGAGGTTGTCTCGTCAGCAGACTTAGTAGGTATTTCTTTGAGTGACATGGTACTGTACTTTCTTGTCATCTCCGCTTTTAATTGGGTAGAAATTGATAAACCCTCAACTTTAAGCCGAAGATCCAGAAGGATTCCCGTAAGGAATCCCAAATACCTGCAGTAACCACCAATTACTAGAAAAGAAGCGGGCAACAAAGAAACTCTCTCTCCCCCGAGGCACACAACTCCACGATCTGCTCTTCCACTAAGACCAGTATCTCCTCTATTTTTATTTCTGTCCATTGATAATTATTCAGCAGCATAGATATAGGAAAAGCAATTGTAACTTTCTCTATTTAAACACCGGAAATCATCAATGAAGGCATAGAAAAATTATAGCTTTGTTCATTGGTCTTTTCTCGCCAAAAGTAGAAGTTTACTCACTGTATTTGTGCCTCTGACTGGGATCAACAGAAGGACATTAATGTTAGGATCTTTTGCTGATCTTTAGCTTCTTTCTCATAAGGGCTGAGGAAACAACCTACCCTTGAACTTGGGCCTGTAGAACTTAAATGAATAAGATATGTTGCTCTATCTTTTGTGGATCATCAGCATCTGGGCCCATCCTTTTAGATTATCGCACAGGCTGCCAAGAGGTTGTTGGCGCAGATTAAATTCAGACCCCATCCACTAACTCAAGGGTTTCGGCCAATCTCCAGATGGTGACTTGATAAGTGTAGGGAGCTTAAAGGGACAGTCTTTTATATCATGACCAACAATACCGCAGTTATAACAAAATTTTGGTAAAGATTCATACCTGAATTGAACCCAGTGCTCGTGATTTTATGGGTTGAATAGGAAGAAACCAGTTGCAAGAGGTACTAAAATGTTAATTTTAACTGACTTTTATGTAATATGTCCAGCAACCTTCTTTATCAACCAGTTCCACTTCTTGTACGTTAATGCCCTACTTTGCTGGAGATTGTTTGAGCATTATTCTTGTAATCAACCCAAAAGGAAGTCCTGTGATTCTCATCCATAATGGAGTAGTTGAGAAGTCAAGCTCTTTTCAGCTCAGCTTTGCATTCTTTTGAGATAACTAAACAGCCTCGTTCGTTCCATGCACATCTTGTGAGGATTTCTTCAGGTCTGCTTCATGTGTACGGGAACATATCTTTGTCTATATGCTGGAAAACAATACTTTGGCTTGGTTTCCATATAGAGGATAAGACTACTTGTATTGTCTCAAAAGGGATGATTTTGGATGTGATTATTTTACCTATTAATGATAGCTGATCAGTTTCGGTATCTCTCCGGCTCCTCTGAGACAAATAAGATATCTTGTCTGTTGATGTTGCTCACTTTTCAGGTTAACATATTCATATCTGCTTTTGCTTCTTCGGGCATTATTGTTGTCTGTACAGATTTTCAGGGATTCTACATATTCCTTGTTTCTTCTGAAGTTTCTCCTGCTTCTTATGTGATCAGCTGCATGATAACAGCATGTGGTGGTTAATAAATGATGTGCTAATGGAGCTTCAGGTGGTGGAAAAGGGAACTAAACGCAGGAGGGTGGATAGGATATAGAATCTTGGTGGCTTAAAGAGGAAGGGAAAAAGACGCTGGAGAAATGCATTAACTCCATTCCAGAGAGGAGGGATACTTCACAAAAAAAGATTCTTGCTTGACAAAACTTTTAGTTGGTTGAATTTTGTTTTTCAACAGCTATGAAAGTCACACTGGTTTGGATTTAAGACCCTTAACAAGCATTCTAATCAACAATAATTTTTAAATTTAAATTCATAAATTTTATTAATTTAGTAACATTTTTACACCAATAATAATAATTTAATTTAATTTCAATTTTTTTTTTATTTTAGATTTATGATAAAAAAAAAAAAAAAAAAAAAAAAGTGGGAGAAAAAATATTTTATTAAGACTAAAAAAGTCAAATTAAAAATAAAGAGAGTTTAATTAAAAAATATATAAATTTTGAAAATGTTTGTTTTGCTTCCATCAAATTGATGAAAAGTTGAAACAAATTTAAAAAAAAAAAAAAATGCATCACACAATAAAGTTTTTTAATATTTTTTATAAAATATTTATAAATATAGTAAATTTTTTATTTATATATTTTTTAATTGTTTTATTAAAATTTTAACTTATAATTTTTAGATGACCAAACACTCGTTTTCTATGGATGCCTTGAATTAAATTAGGGGAAAAAGAAAAAACTCGAAACAAACACATTTTTTGGTTATTTTTTAATAGTTTTATAAGCTTTATAAATTTAAATGTTTCTTTTTTTTTTAATTGAAAAAACAACTAAATGTCTTGAGAAATTAACTAGATATTTTATAAATTCTAAAATATTGCTTTTGATATTTTATAAAGACACATTCTTTACATACTTTTATAAATAAGCACATAATAAAAATTAAAAATTATTTTTATGAAAAATCTTTTCTTTTTTTTTTCAGTAAACTAAAAAAAATTTTGACAGTTAAAATATGTGGATGTCCGAACAAGGCTTATCTTCCAAATTTAGACCCAGAAACAAAATGAAATTTTACAAACAGAGGCTTTCAGTTATCTGTTACCCTGGAGCGGAGTGACAGAGGGAGTCGCCATGGCGACCCTGAAACTTCCACCATATTCCGCCCACATCCTCCCCGGCGGAAAACCTCTTTTCTCATTTCCTGCTTCAACTCCCTTCTTCGCCAAATCAGCTTCCCCTCTCTTCCCCGATTACAAATTAGCGATGCCCACCGGTAATTTTCTTTCCTTCCTTTACTTTTAATTTCTCTTTAAGTAGTACTAAGGTAAAGAAGTTTCCAATTTGGTTCTTTGTTCTGAAAATTAGCGTTTTATAAGTTATACCTGATTCACTTCAAGCAGACCAATTTTGTTTCAGTTGCTAATTACTTGCTTCTTTGGTTCTGGGTCGCTTTAGTACACATCAGGTGTTTGTTGCTGTGTCTACATTGCAAATTGAATTCATTTATACTTTTTTTCTTCTTTTTTTTCCTGGGTTCGTTAGAATATGACGAGTCTACATATATGTCTATGTGTGTGTTTGTGTATATATATAGAATTTCAGTCACTGCATTGTACTAAGTTATTAAGGACTAGACATCAGCTTCTGAATAGTAGTTTTCGCGAATATGCAGGTTCAACTACAAGAGTTGTAAGACTTTTTGGTCCTGGTATCCTACTGTATCAACATAAAAAGGCTAAAGGACTGAGTGCTCAGCAGTTCATAACAAGAAGTTCATCAGGTTGTCTTTGTTATTTCTACAAATATTTTCCTTAGAGCTTAATTAGTCATTCTTTGGAATCATTCTCCAGAGAGCATATCATATTTATGTGTTGCTTTTCAGCATCAGTACAGCCTGTAACTGAGGCATCGGTGGAGAATAAATCCAAGGATCTCCCTGTTACTGGAGACTCCATAAGACGTCGGTTCCTTGATTTTTACGCTTCTCGTGGTCACAAGGTCCTACCAAGTTCTTCTCTTGTGCCAGATGATCCTACAGTTTTACTAACAATAGCGGGAATGCTTCAGTTTAAGCCCATATTTCTTGGAAAGGTACAGGATTGACTCTACAAAAATGAATGCCATTTCTGCTGCATCTGAATATAGAATGTTGCTAGGATTTATCAACTGAAGCCAACAGTTTATTTTAAGATAGATACTGGATGCGAGTCATGATCAATGTTTTTATCTCTTTCATTGTCAAATGCACATAGAATAGTATTATGATTGGAATTCGTAATTTTATTTTTAGTTTCCATGATCCACTAGACTTTGTAAGTCTACTTCAACCACAATTCCCAATGAACAGTTCTCTATCTTGCACTTGACCATGAATCTGTAGGCAGTATGTGGTTATAGGAACTCTCTACTGTGATTTGCTGTCTATATCAACAAGTTTATTTACATATTGGGATTTGATTATTAGAACATGATAGCAAAATTCAAAGACTTGGTCTGATGTTATAAACACCGTCTAATCAGGTTCCCAGACAAATACCTCGTGCAACAACAGCACAAAGGTGCATACGTACAAATGATGTAGAGAATGTTGGGCGAACAGCTCGACACCACACATTCTTTGAGATGCTCGGGAACTTCAGTTTCGGAGATTACTTCAAGAAAGATGCAATTAAGTGGGCTTGGGAGCTTTCAACAGTGGAGTAAGAAATCTGTATATTAACCATCAAAACTGTAAAATGATCTATGCTATTAGTTTGAGTCATGAAGTCATTGCCATGGTCACACAGTTAATTTTTTTCCCTTTCTGAAAATAAAAATTAATTTTCTTGTTTATTATTTATTATTTATCTGCTTTTGTAGATTTGGCTTGCCTGTTGAAAGACTATGGATTAGCATCTACCAGGAAGATGATGAAGCTTTTGACATATGGCATCATGAGGTAGGGCAGACTAGAATCCATCACTTACATTGTGTTTACATGCAGTTTTTTGTTTCTGTTATTATATTCATGCTAATCTTTATTATTTATGTGCTTATCGAACCATTGGGTACATTTAGAAGGATTGCATATCTTGATAATTGTCCGAGTTTTCTCATCTTTGTTCCTTCTATCTTTCTGCTGAGGATTTGTATCATTTCTAGCATAATTTTTTCTACATTTCTATCTTTTCATATCTTCATGCTGTTGTTTTGACTTTTCAGATTTTCTTCTTTAAATTTATTTATGACATTTAGGGAACCATAGAATTTTGGTGAGAATCATGATGAGAAGCAAACAAACAACCTTGGGTCTTTATCTCCTTTTGTAGTCTAGTTCTCTTTTTTTCTGGCACGGAATAAATTTGCATTATGGCATTTCCCTTATGTAGTTCTAGTGTTATAGCTGGAAATCTTGGACAAAAAATTAATTAGACAGTCTTGCATCAGGTGGGTGTTCCTGTTGAGCGGATAAAGAGAATGGGTGAAGATGACAACTTTTGGACAAGTGGAGCTACTGGCCCTTGCGGTCCATGCTCTGAGATTTATTATGATTTCCATCCTGAGAGGGGATCTTTGGATGTGGT